CCAACTCCCAGTAAAACAACAGAAGATGAAGAAGAAATTACATAATAGTCATGCTGTGAGATGATGCAGCGTGTAATATTAATAGAAAAATATCTGAAAAGAAAAAGTAGGCAGTCTGACCACATGAAAGCCCTAGCATGATTAGTGGTCAGAAGCAAAAAAGGTGTACTGGGGACAAACCAAGCGGGTTCCACTATAACTGGTGTGCAGGGAAAAACTATCAATATGCTTTTTGTGACATTTTTGCTTGTGATTTCTTTCTAATGTGAAATATGTGCTGTGGCTCCCAAAGGTTGGGAAACATTGCTCTATAAAAGTTTATCTGTGGTGCAGCTGAAAATGGTAGCATGTTTTCAGATCTTGATTAAATTATTCAGACACAAATCAGCTTTGATTTCTAGCAAAATATTTCTGAGTGTACTCTTTGGACGTCTGCAGTCAGCTCTGACGAAAAGTGTTCCAGGGAATCCTGAATTATTCTGCTGTCTGTCTCTCATCAGGTGACTCTGAACAAACACTGGATATAAACCCTTTAGCTGATTTATCTGAGGATGACATAGAGCCAATCAAGGTGAGACAAAAGCAAGCGGATCCTGATCATTTACACATGTAATGACTGTTAATCTCGGCACTTTTTCATAGTAGTAGTCTAAACTTTGTCTGATGGAACAAAGAAGGAGACTTCAGGACAGAAACTAACTCCACGTGTTGAATTTACCTGCACTGCAACACTGATTAATTGTACGTTATCAGGATGCTTTAAGCTTTATCCTGCATGGCTCCATGTTTTCATTGTTTTTAGTCCCACTATTTTACTGCCAGTTTTGAAAGTACGCACATATAACTGCTGATGTGTACGTTGTGTAGTTTGTTGTTTCTTCACTGCTTACTGGTTTGTTGCTGCTTTAAACAGCTGATGTTGTTCCTCTCTGATTTCCAGCCTCCATCAAGCTTCACACCTGAAGTACAAACTGAATCCACACAAATCTCATACAGGTGATAATAAAACCACAGCTGTCACTGCTTTCACTTCCACTTTAGAATGATGTCACACATGCTCTGATGTGACCTGATTTGTATTGCACACCTGGAGGTGTGACATAGTAAATTACCTCCTCCTCTCCATCGATGTCTAATATATGAGACGTTGTGTGTATTTGTGTACTTTGCTTTTCTCTCCCTCTGTGTTTTCCTTTGTCCATCTCACTCAGACATCATTTCCACTGAAAGATCATCTGGAGCTTCAGTTTCTGATGGGAGCAGCACAGTTGCATCTCAGTTGTTCAGCTCTAGTTTGCACTATCAGTGATGAAGGAACTGATCAGACAGGTGACGTCCCTCACCTCAGTGACAGACAGAGATAATGTCAGACTTCAGGCAGGACCTTCACTTGGCCCTCCAGCTCCAGTAACAGCTGCCTCCACAGATGCCTGGCTGTGTTAGAGATGACAGGGTTCATCTGGGTTCTGTGTGATTTGAGGTGGTCTGATAATATAAAACTCAAATACAGCGATGGCAGGTAACTATCAGTCCAGAAAGAGGATGAAGCCTCCGGGATGACTGACCACAACCGTGTTCTAATAATGTGACATGTGACTCAAACCCTGAGATATCCCAAACCACAAGCAGAATTAATAACCTGCTTTGGCTTACAGATGTAGCATCCCCTCACTTTGGTGGATGTGACAGTTTGGACTCAAACAGAAGCTTCAGATGTTCTCGTTGGTTTCTTTCTTTTAGATTCTAGTTTAATCGTTTCATCTTCTACAGGTTCAGGTGTCCTGGTCCAGGTGTGTTCCAGTGTACTCTGACCAGACTGGTGTTTGTTATGGCTCAGGAGGCGGAGCTGCTGTACAGGAATGTCCAATGGGATGAGAGCCTCCTTCAACAAGCTGGAAAAACAGCTGCAGGGCCGCTGTTTAACATCACGTGCTCTGAGGATGCAGTCCGTCAGCTCCACCTGCCACACTGTGAAACAAAGGAGGGTGAGCACCTGCTGCGATGATGAGATGAATTGTGTTCAGTATCAAAACAAGCACTTTATTATGATTTTTGTTGCACACATTAATAAATGGGTAGCATCTAACTTGTAGATAACAGTGATTAGTTTGAACTACCTGAAGTGTTGAAAAATAAATGGTGCAGGATGAATCCCTGAGCAGGAAATAGTGCAGCAGCTCTTTGCTTTCACAGCGTTGTGTGTTGATGGCCTGCTGTCTGTCGCGCACATCTTTGATGATGGGATAAGCATCTTGAAACCGATGAGGATCACCGACACGCATGTGATTGTGAACGTCTCCCACCTCTCTGCCTTTGGCCTTATCTGGAATTTTGTTAAAAAGTCCTTTAAAATCCCAGAACCAGGCCAGGTTCTGCTGTTCCTCCGATTTAAAGACACAGTGCCTCTAAAAATCAACGTGTTTCTCCTGCATGAAAGAATCCATCTGTCAGAGGTAAGCATAGAGCACTGAGGCGGTCTCGCCCTGCAGATTTCTGATGCTTCTAGTAGGGGGCAGACACCCTGGGCTTTATTCATTGGTTAGTAGAAGCACAGAGTCAAGCTTCTCAGACTGCAGACCCTCACTCTCACTGACCAATCACAGTGCTTTATTCTTGACTTCAGTCATGATCCAGAGTTGATTGCATAGTTATCTCTCCCCCTACTGACAAAGTAAACCTGGGTTACTGACTGCACTGGATCATTTGTTCCACACTTTAGTCAAAACTTGATAATTATTAATGATTTCTATAGATAAACAGATCAACATATGAACATTAACATAATTTTATATCCTACCACTGAGGTTAAAAAGCAACAAGGCAATGATGCTACATACATTGAGACGTCTTCAGACTGCGTGCTTCACATCGGTCAGCGTTACAGTGTCCACTGTGAACCCGACGGCCTGAAGATACAGCCGAACGTGAGCCAACAGTCGTGAATAAAATGCCCCTGAAAATAAAGTCAAATATAAAATAAGCAGTTTTCTATCAGTCCCTATTAAAACCACAGATTCTTGTTGGTTTTCAGCACGCAGAGTTTTGGAACAAGCGTGGACCGAATTACTATCCAACATTTGAGGTTTTCCTGACTGCAAACCTGGAGGTTGTGACTCTGATAGTCAAGGACCAAGATGGAAATGAAGCCTGGCGTCGTGATGGTAAAAGTTCCACTGCAGCAGCAGAAATGATTGTATAAATGTCTGCTACAAGGATATTTTATAAACGTTCAACTGAAATCATATTTAAGTCTCTTTTTAGTGTTTGTCCCAGAAAAGGACCGAGTCTCACCAGAGGACAGCGCACACCACAAAACAAGAAAAGATGAGGATAAGCTGCAGCTAATCCGCTCAGAGTTTATTGAAAGAGTGTCTGCAGAGGGTTTAAACAAAATTGTAGATAAACTCCTCGAGCGTCATATTATAATTGATGAAGAGATGGAGTCTGGGACATTTGAGACAAAAAGCAGAGCAAATAAAGTGCGATGCATAATCGACACCGTGCTACGAAAAGGAAATGACGCCTGCAGACATCTGCTCGATGTTCTCAAAGAGGTGGACCCATCCCTTTTCAGAGTGCTCGTGCCAAAGCGAAGCCAAAAAAAACCTGTAAAGAAGCTCATGAGCTGTGGTGCTAAAGTCTCACGTTACTCAGTGAAATCTTGAAATGACCAGTTTTTGTGATTCTCTTGAACCAATTTGGACTTGTTTGACTGGATGCTGAGCAGAAAACCAGATGGAGTTGTTATCAATCTCAGACTGCTTCATAATGTTAAAGGTGTTTCCGTAAAGTTTAGTCATTCTAGCTTTCTCTCACTAGATGGCAACAGAAGATCGGTGATAGAGGCAGTACCTCACACATATAGACAGGAAATGTGCACGTTAACATGATGTTTATCATTTTAAACTGATAGAAATGATATTTTTAGGTTTTACTCAAACTATTTTTAAATAATCCCAGATTAAATGGTAAATGGATTCTTATATAGTCAAGTACTCAGATTAACAATAACAATTTCAAGGTGCTTTATTTTGGAAGGGAAAGACATGGTCTTCAAACTTTCGTGGTTTGAAGGATCAACGCTGCAAGTTTATTTTTTTCAGTCTTGATCATCTGAATCAATCAAATTAATGTTACTGTGAAATTATTCTAATTATTTTGTACGAATTTTGGCTGTTATGTGTTTACATTGCATTAATAGCAACCATCTGTCTTAACTGTTCCTTATGTGATTAAAATCACCACAGTTTGGTAATCACACAGATTCATGTTTCCTTTTTCTCTGCTAATAAATGAAGCCATTAAATTTCCTCTAAAAGTCTTCAGTCAGTTTCTTCTGACTTCCTGTATCACACATACAAAAGTTGACAGGGAAGAGCATGTGTGACACAAAAGACCAGAGGTCTGTAGCATGAAGATGGCTTTTGTTTTATCCCAGTAGCTTCAGGGCAGATGGGTGGGTGTCATTTCTGTTAATATCTGCTAATATTGTAAATAATTACTGTTGAGTGTGTGAGAGATGTGAATGAGGTTGATGATGGCAGATAAAAATAAGCTGCAGTGAGAGACGACTCCTTCATCTCTGTGTCATGTAAAGAAAAGAAAGACATGGATGTAAAAGCTAATAAAGGTAAAGTTAGGAGGTGTGAAAACAAACCAGGAGTCAGGCTGTGTGAGGACTTCAGACAGAAGTTGTTGAATACAAAGAGAAGAGTTGGAAATATGACAGAACATGTGAGACATTTAGAACAATAAACTATGTATAGCAATGTAAATGTGGGAGGGGGGCACTGAAGGTGCTGATTGTCAGCTTTCCCTATCCAGAGTACTGCTGCAGCTTCATTAGCCTCTGCTAACACTACATACCTCAGCCTGCCACCCAACTGTGGCAATGCAAATGACAGGAAACAGGAATAAACGCAAGAGAGCAGGATAACATCCAGAAGGTTTATGTAAGGCTGCCAGTGCATACTTTGACAGAGAGTCTGTGAGGCAAACACCCGGGTGAGGAAAAGCCCCAGAAATCAGCCTAAACA